AAAAATAGCTGAAACCAGTTGTTTCCAAATGTTGGCTCTTAGATCCTTCCTGATGCCCTTTTCAAAAATGCAGTCAGAATCTATGGAACTCAGATATAGAAAACTGATCAAAGTGGACATACTCTGGGTGTCATAGGGATAGAAGGCTAGAAGACTTCTGCTCTTACCCTGGAAAGGGGACATGTCCTGAGGCACTCTGTTGAATCCTGCCTCTCTCGACCAGTAAAGTTGACATTTGCTGAATAAATCATTCATTAGCTCCTACAAAGGGAAGCAGCAAACAAGGGAGGCCAGCAAGCAAGGGTTCCCCAAGAGAAGGCAAGGCCAGACCAATCTCATTTTTTTTTCCATAGGCTATCAGTGGAATGTTGTAACAGTTCATCTGGATTTGAGCAACGTATTTGACAACATCTCTCATTAGAACTGCACAAACAAAATGAAGTTGCTACAATGGGGCCATCAGGCAGATGCAACACTAAGACCAGTCCGTAAGGTTGTTGGTTAAATGGTTAATTCAAGGGGCGCCTGGGTGGCTCAGTCGGTTAAGCGTCTGCCTTCGGCTCAGGTCATGATCTTAGGGTCCTGGGACTGAGCCCTGCATCGGGCTCTCTGCTCAGCAGGGTCTGCTTCTCCCTCTGTTCTCTCTCTCTCTCAAATAAATAAATAAATAAAATCTTTTTTTAAAAAAAAATAGCTAATTCAAGTCCTGGGGACTTTCCAATGGCCTGCCAAGGAGCTCTCTTCAGTCAGCTCCTTCTGTGGCATTTTAATCAATAATTCTAACAATAATTACTGTTCATGAGGTGCCTAATATATGTGAGACACAGTGCTAAGCACTTTATATTCAATCCTAAAGGTAGGTACCATTTTTTTTTTTTAAAGATTTTATTTATTTATTCATGAGAGACAGAGAGAGAGAGAGAGAGGCAGAGGGAGAAGCAGGCTCCCAAGGAGCAGGGAGCCCGATGCGGGACTCGATCCCAGGACGCCGGGACCATGACCCGAGCCGAAGGCAGACGCCTTAACCATCTGAGCCACCCAGGCGCCCCGGTACCATTTTTATCAGAGGCTCGAAATGGACAATTAGCTTGTTCAACATCTCATAACTAGTAAATGTGAAGCGAGGACTTAAACCTCTGCCTCAGGGACTCCAGATGAAGACGCTGGTGACACTCTTGTGACATTCTGGGAGAGTTAATGAGTCAGATAATAAGATTATTATCCAAAAAGATTGACAGTTCAAAAAGATAAACCAAATTTAAAATAATGAATGTAAACAACAAATAACTGAAGGTCTAAAAAACAAACCAGCAAAAAACAACTGCAAAAAAGAAGCTACATAAATACAAGGCAGGAGAGAGATGGCTTAATATCAGTGCATATGAAAAAATCTGGGAGGTTTTTTTTAAAGATTTATTTACTTAGCGTGTACACGCACAAGTGGGGGGAGGGACAGAGGCAGAGGGAGAAGGAGACAGAGAGAATCTCAAGCAGACTTCCTGGTGAGCTTGGAGTCTGACTCGGGGCTCAGACCCTGAGATCATGACCTGAGCCGAAATCAAGAGTCAGATGCTCAACTGACTGAGCCACCCAGGGGCCCCAAAATCTTAGAGGTTTTAATTAAAGACAAACTCATCACCAGTAAATGGTGAAATGTAGCTCATGAACTTGAGCCATATTCATGGACTAGAGTGTCCAAAACAAAGGAAGGGCCAGGCCTGCTGGGACCTGCAGTGCTCATTGTCTTGTCTGCCATGTTCTGTGCTGGGAATCACATTTGAAGATGGATGGTGATAAAGAGAAATCCAATCAAGATTGCAAAAGGTGTAGCAATGATCCGGGAATATTCATCTCAGAAAGGAGAAGATAGTGGGAATGGCAGAGCTGTTTTCAAACCGATCTGGGCCCCTTCTCAGGTTGCTGCGTGGAACAGGAGTGTGTTCTGCTCCAGCAGAGAGACCCAGCCTGTGGTACATTCGCCTGGAATGCCTTTCATTCCTTCTCTTCTGTCGGTGTGCATCTCGCTCTGCCTCCCTCTCACAAAGATCCATGTAAATGCCCTGAGGGCTCACCCTGATAATCCAGGATAATTCTATTTCAAGATCCTCAATCCCATCGGCAGAGACCCCGTTTCCACAGAAGGTAATATGCACAGGTGCCAGGGACTGAGCTTTGGAGGGTCATCTTCCAGCCAGCCATATGTGGTTTAATCCTGGATCCTGAATCTGAGACATTCCCTTCCTGGTTCTCCAGCCTAAGGACTGTAGCAGAAGTAGACACTGACTGATACACCAGTTTTGAAGTGACCTTCTGGAAATCGTCCTAGAAGCCCAAGCCTGAAGCCTGCTCCCCAGGCTCCTGCATAATTGTACTTGCACCCATCTCCCTGTCTGCTTGAACTGCAAGAGTGTTTCTGTTATGTACAACTGAATCCTAATAGATACCTAAAATATGGTCACATTGTGATGGAGATCCTTCATATTCATCACTCTGTTTTTATCTGTGTATCTACATAACTGAGCTACAAATTTATTATACTCATATGTACAAAGAAAAGACACCACCTTATGAAAAATAAGTGCTCTAATACTGGTTATAAACTCCCTCAGCTATGCGGTAATGATCATTGTGGTGGGTGCCATATGAGGAGAGACTTAAATTTTATTCCAATCTGGTAAACTTGGTTAAGTGGTTCAAGGAGTTCATTGAGATCAATTCTGTCTCTCAGATTTCCTCTCCTCCTTGCTCCTCTCCAAGGTAGAGTCTGTCTTAATGGAGTAAGATGGATCATATGAGCTTATGGTGGCATTAGCAGGGAAGGGAAGACAAACTTCTCAAATCCATACTCAAGCCCCCAGTCACCATTGATCTCTGCTTTGAACTGGCTATTGTAAACTCTTTCCTGGACCAGTGGCTTCTGAGGCACACAGCACTAGCGTTCATGGTCTGGTCTTAATGCCCCACAGAGTCAGGTTTCTGCCTGTCTACTGATCCTATCAGCCTCTCTACATTCCTATTCTCAGACATGCATGAACTTCTGGGCCCCTTGTAGACCACACAAAGCCATGGGGGATAAGGAACACTGGCTCAGGTTTAACCATCTACCTGGGACACATCAATTGCTCCTGCACTATTGCCCTGTGCCCTGTTGGAGGCAGCATGCAGGGCTACTCTAGAGACTGACAACCTCCTTGTAGGATGGAGTGGGGAAGCCCTCAAGTTCTTGGCCTCCCCTCAGCTATCTGGATGTTCTAAGGCTCCCTCTGTGCACACAAGTCTGGTTCTGAGGCAGGCCGAAAGCCAGAACCTTATGTCTGACCTTCTGGATCCTGTCTGACCCTTCTTTTCCTATTATAATCCCAGGAACCAGAATTGGGCAGGTTTGGGGGTTTCCATTTCATGTGCAGCACATCTGTCTTCTGATGTGTTCTTTCCAGAATAGCCAAACTCAGGGCATGACCATCACGTGCAGGAGAGAAGTCCCCTGTATGCCAGGAAAGGAGCTCTATGATCTAGTACTGATGTTAAAAGGGTAGATAACATAGCTTAAAAATCCTTTTCTTTCTTTCATTTTTTTTAAGATTTACTTATTTATTTTTTAGAGAGAGAGAGAGAGAGTGTGTGGGAGGAGGCATAGAAGGAGAGAATCTCAAGCAGACTCCCCGCTGAGTGCAGAGCCTGATGCAGGGCTTGATCTCATAACCCTGAGATCATGATCTGAGCCAAAATCAAGTCTGGATGCTTGACCAACTGGGTGCCCCCCAAATCCTTTTCTTTCTTGATGTCTGGTTTTCATGAATATTGTTTGATATCAAAAGGTCAAGGAAGTCAGCTGTGACTAACACTCCTGTTGCAGGCAGTCCCTGTTTTTTTCCCAGAACAATATTCCTTGTAACTCAACAACTCAACCTTGCTCATGGAAGGCTGCTGGGGAAACAATTCAGAAGGAAGTTAGAATAGATCAGTTTAATATTTAAAAATACTATCTGTTAACCTATGTATTAAGAGATGTCTGGATTCATATCAACCAAATTTTAATCATGGTTCCTTTTGGATTCAGGCAATTTGGGTGAAGTGATTATTTTTTATGCTTCCAGTTATTGCTTAGATTTTTAAAAATAAGCAGTAGTCTAATAAAAATGTCCTTAACAATTTTGTTTGGATCCTTTCGCTATGCAGCTACCCCCTTCCCTTTTTTTTTACGTCAAGAGCTAACATCTTAGAGACTCTCCACAATTCAACATTCACTTGCTTATTAATTTATTAGGCATCTACTGTGCTTCAGGTCATATGTCAGATATTAAGGATACAGAAATGAATGAATGTCATATTTGCCTTTTAGGCAACCACAATTTAGTAGAGAATGCAAAGCATACCACTCTAGCACATTCTAATAATTATGATGACATGATTTTCTGACCTTATATGTCATGAAAAATTGACTCGATTTCACAACACATCTTTATTAAGCACCCACACATGAGCCAGGCCCCAGACTAGGTAGGTTCTGGGGACAGAAACACATCATTTCAAACAGAGAGTTTCTCCCCAGGAGGCTCTTGGGGCTTTTCAAGCCAGCAAGACAAGTTTCCCCCGAAAGTCTGTAGGACAGAATTCACAGGCTGGAAACTCTTTACCTTCACCCTCCAGCCAGCTGGTCTACCTGCCGGAAGCAAGAGCTGTTCTAAGAAGTCAGAAGTGACAGGATCTGTGTCATAGATCAAAGAAAACACAGTGGCAGGATGGACATCTGCATAAAGCTTGGTGGGGTCTCTCCAGCCACCAGGGAGGAAGTGACTAAGGCAGAGAGTCAGAGTTGTGCACTGTTCCACATAGGAGGACTTTCTTCAAACCTAGTCTCCCCATTGAGCTGACTCACTGGCTTCTTCCTCCTACAGTGTCAGAGCTACCTCTCTCCCCACTGCTGTGCTGAGCTAATAGATTGCTTCTTTCAAGGTAGATTGCTGAAAATTTGTTTCATTTCTCCTTTCTATTTCCAGGTATGTCACTGACTTGCTGAGTCATATTTGGCAGGATCTCTCTTTTCTCCCTGTTTTTCCATCTGGATAATATGGTTTATAAAGAGCTCTAAGGCATTTTGTTTCCAAAAATGTATAAGCATACAAAAATAATGGTGTTGTTTACCAAAAGGTTTTTATCTGTACATAGCTCAATTAAAACATTATCTTATTGCAATAAAAATATTTTTGTCTATTTTGTTCTTCACTGGGATGAAAGCTCTTTGAAAGCAGGGACCATTTGTTTACATATTTCTATTCCCAGCATTATACAATATAACGAAGCCAGGTATTCTCTGTCTGGTCCTTGGACCCAATGGGAGATCCATGTATGTTGACAAGTGGCCTGGAACTCTCATGATGTTTTGTGGTGCATTTGGGCAACTTTTGAGGTACAAGGTCAAAGCTCGCATCTGATTTTCAACAGTGTGAGTCACCCCTCCCTCTCCCTACCCCCCAAAACAAAACCAGATAAAAACCATAAAGGAGGTCCTTAGGATCTACTTATCATATGGGTAACTGTGCAGCTGCTACTATTTCTCAACCCTGAATTACTAATTCGGGTCATTCCTCAGAAGTATGAGGGTTCTAGAGGAACTTACACAATTTCACAATATCTGCATTGTCCATTTAATACCAAATTCAAAGGGAGGAAATAGAAAGAAAAGGAAAGGTTGAACACCGTGACCATCTCACGGACACTGAAGTAGCAAGAGATAGGAAGATGATCACTTAATGCTATGCTCTTCCTCTGGCCAAATGGCAATATGCCCAGGCAATCTATTTTAATTTAATAACAATCAATATACTGAATAAATATTTGATGGTGATAAGTAGGAAGCAAGATGAAAGAAAAAGCCAGTACTGTAAAGATATCACCATGAAAGTTTTGCTAGGACTTAATTTTGTCATAAATATTTTAAGAATATTTTTGGACTTGAGTTATAAATATGACTTCTAAATGTATATTCTTCTAAATTTTTTAAGAAAATCAAATGTATTGAAGAGAGCAACTAAAAGTATAGTCAATGTTTCTAATTTTATGTAGCTTTATTTGTTGCTTTAAAAAAATCTGCTTCTCCCCAGTAGACCCAAAGTGCCTTGAGGTTGGATCCATGTTTTGTTTTGTTTTGTTCTAACTCTAACGTTTTATACAGAGCACAGGGCTTTATTTTCATTGGTGCTTCAGAAATATTACCGGTAAGGGGGTGCCTGGGTGGCTCAGTCATTGAGCGTCTGCCTTCGGCTCGGGTCATGATCCCAGGATCCTGGGATCGAGCCCCGTGTCGGGCTCCCTGCTCCGCGGAAAGCCTGCTTCTCCCTCTCCCACTCCCCCTGCTTGTGTTCCCTCTCTTGCTGTGTCTCTCTGTGTCAAATAAATAAATCAAATCTTAAAAAAAAAAAAGAAAGAAATATTACTGGTAAGGATGAATGGGGAGTATCTAGATACAGATAACTTACCGAATGTCTGCATAAGGTACTTGACAGTCTAGAGTATTGAGTCTAGAACTAGCAGTATATGTAACAGATGTGCCACACCTACTTTCTGGTTTTAGAGCACAAGGAAAACACTCAATTGGACTGTGAAAGTCAGAAGTCTACTATTTCTTTAATTTTGCAGAATTTTCACTTTTAACCTCATTATTATAAAATAAGACAGATTTAAAAACCCACGTAAAACAAATGCATAGCTTAATGAATTATGATAAGGCTAACATTCTTCCAGCCAAGAGCAACAAAACAAAACTTGGCCAGGGACCTGTCCCAATTACAGGCCTCTCCCTTCTTTCTCATCCTTCCCATCCCAAGCCACCACTCTCCTGACTTTTATGGCAGTGGTCCTCTGGACCAGAGGATTCGTCCCCACCTGGGAACTTGATAGTAATGCAAATCCTTGGTCCCTATCACAGATCTGCTAAAGCAGAAACTCTGGGGGTGGAGCCTAGTGATCAGTGTTTTGAGAAATCCTCCAGGTGATTCTGATGTGTGTTTAAAGTTTAAGAACTATTGTTTTACAGTAATCACTTACTTGTGTTTCTTTAGTTTTATCACCAGAGTATACATCTCTAAACACTATTGTTTATTCTTGACCATTTTTAAGATTTAATGTGTCTTTTAAGACTCTTATAACATAAAAGTTTCCTTTTCAGTCCTTCCTTTTCCTTACAATTTATCTGTTAAAGAACCCAGGCTATGTGACCTGTAAACTTTCTCACAGTTTGGACTTTGCTGATTGAATACACAAATCTGAATTTGAATACGTGAACTTGCTGACTGACTACATGATGCAGATCAACATATTCTTCTGTCCTCCGTATTTCCTGCAAGTTGGCAGCTGGATCTCGAAGTTATAAAATGTGTGTGTGCGCGTGTATGGGTGTGTGTTAGTTAACCAGTATAATGGAACAAATTATCCCAAAACATAGCGGCTTAAAACAAGAAACATTTGTTATCTCAGTTTCTGTGGGTCAGGCATCTGAGGGTGGCTTACCTGGTGGTTCTGACTTAGGGTCTCCCATAAGGTTATTGGCAAGATGTTGGCCAGGACTACAGTCACCTGAAGGCTTGACCGGGGTGGAAGATCCTCCAAGGATCTAAACCTGGCAAGTTGGTGCTGGCTTTTGGCAGGAGGCTCTAGTTCCTCCTCACATGGGCCTCTCTGAAGACCTCTTTGAATGTCCTTGAGCCATGCCAGCTAGCTTTCCCCAGAGCAAGGGATCCGAGAGGAAAAGACAGAAACCACTGTCTTTTATGCTATCGCCTTGGAAATCACAGTCCATCACTCCCAAGCTAAACTACTGGTTACTTAAGAAGGGGAGGGGACTACCCAAGGGCATGAACATTTACAGGCCAGAATCATTAGGGACCATCCTGGAGAATGGCTGGTATTTAAAGACAGAATACCTCACAAACTAATATTTTCATTTCATATACAGGATTTGAGGGTTTTATTTAATCTACTCTGTATTATATCTCTTTTCTTTCACACTGAGAATCCTAGCAGTTAGAATACAGTAGTCTCCCCTTATCTGTTGGGGTTCCAAAACCCCCAGTAGACACCTGAAAACTCAGTGCCAAACCCTATATGTATATACTACATACTATGGTTTTTTTTCCCCATGCATTCATACCTATGATAAATTTTAATTTATAAATTAGGCACAGTAAGAGAGACCAACAATAAGTAATAATAAAATAGAACAATTATAACAATATACTGTAATAAAAGTTATGTGAGTGTGGACTCTCAAAACATTATACTGTATTTACCCTTCTTCGGGTAATGATGTGAGATAATAAAATGCCTACATGATGAGATGAAGTGGGGTGAATGACAGACACTGTGGCTTCCATTAGGCTACCACTGACCTTCCGACAATATGTCAGAAGGAGGATAGTTGGCTTCCAGACTGAGGTTGACTGCGGGTCATTAAAATCATGGAAAATAGAAACAGTGGATAAGAGGTAACTGCTATATCTCGTAATTATCCATTTGTTTTTAGGTTAGCTCAGGTCTTTCAAGAAGCAAACACCTTGGGATTAGACATGCAAGCGATTGGGAGGGGAAAACAGGAAAGGGGAAGAGGAAAGAGGAGAAGCAAGAGAGGCAGGGGTAGCCTGCAGACTATAGTTTAAGTCTAACACCTATGGAAGAGGATGGGTAGGAAGAGCCTCAGACTGCAGTCCAGTTGAAAGAGAATTTCAGCCACTTGGCTGGGTAGCCGTTGAGCTAAAAAATATCAGTTGCAGTCATGTGACCAGCAGGAAGAAGCCGGGACTAATGCGCCTTCATTGTGCTCATTCATTGGCTGGGAGCAGCCCTGGGGGTGTGGCCTCAGTGCGAACACAGCCAGGATCCAGAGGGCAGAAGGGAGGGGGGTCTGTCAGTCAACTATGCTCCTAGAAGCGGAAAAAATGAAGAAAAAATGAAAAAGCCGCACATTTTTATGGGTGCTGCTGCTTCATCCCCCATTATACACAACAGACTCGGAATAACAATATCAGTACTCGCACCGAAATATGATCACTGAAAAGAGGTCAAATATTTTTGTACATGCTCTCTCCATAACCCCCCTTGTAAAAAAAATGCTTCTATATTTATGATTCAGAATATAGTCATTGCATACAGTATTCTCCCCCTTTTAACCTTCATTTAAGACGTTTATATATTTACCAATCCTTCTGCTAGGCTAAAGTTACATCATTTCTCTTTGGTATCTCCTTTGCCCTCCCAGCAATCAGTAACATTTAACCTGACTTCAGTGTATCCTTTTGTATTTGAGAAAGGATCTAAACTTCTAACTGAGCACAGTCTGGTTACTTACACTGCTCTTAAGTAAAATGTAATAGGACATTTGGTCACACAAGTGACTTCAAAGCCCAAACTAGATGAGCCAGAGCTGATCTGATGGCTCAGTGGGTGGATGCATGACCTGCACCCATCTTCCCAGGCTGGGGTCACTCATACCCATAGGCCCAAAACAGGGGTGAAAAATCGATGTGAATTTTTTTGTTAATGGAAAACGGAAGATCTTGAGGAGGATGTGCCTTTGAGCAGGCTCCTTCCACAACCCTCAGACATCAAGAGTGTAGAGGCCAGGGGTGCAGTGTGTGGCTCAGGCCTTCTGCTGTTCTTCAGTTGAAAGTTTGGGAAGCATTGGTCTATATATAGCTCAGGGCTTAGGGGGAATTTTTCAGCTTTTAAAAACATCATTTACATAATAATGAATGAAGATACATAGAGAGGCTGGGGCAGCAGAGCAATTATTCTGGGGGCACAGGTTTTCAGGTAGGTTTTGTGTCTTCCCTCCCCTTTCCCTATTCATGGCCCCAGAGTTTTCACCATTTACAATGGCCCTGTAAATCGGTTAAGTACAAAGAGACAAATCCAGGCAAACTCACATTCGTGCGAACAATCCCATTAAGGTTCCCAAGATGAGGGCACTCTGTGAGAAAGTGCCATTGAACTCTTTGATAGCTCATCCTTGGATGAATATGGGGAAAAGTTACAAAGGATCTCTTTGGCCTTCGGTGTGAGAACTACTGATTAACGTTTTTCTCTCATTTCCTTGATCTTTACCAAAAATTCAATGATGCTGGCCTTCCAGACGCCAGTGGCTTGTTCTGTGTGCTCACCAGCCTGTCATGGAGTCTGTT